TTTCCGTCGGCTAATTCCAGTTTCAAACATAATTAGGTAAACCTTGATATCACCCCTTTGTAGTTAATATCCTTTTTAGTTCTTTTTGTCACTATTTGTTTTCTTGCATTTTGCGCAATTAGGATTTGAGGGAGAATCAGAGGGTTGACGGAACTCGGTGAAATTGGTTCCTATAAACTCTTGATGCCTACCCAATCTTGTCGTTCTTGTTCTCTCTCGAGATCTTGATTGCCTTTGTTCTTTTATGCAATTGATCTTCTTCCCTTATGATTATAGTTGCTAGCCTGCCTCTATTTGTTTTTTCTCTTTTTTGTTGTTATAGTAGATAATGATCCAGTTAGATAAAAACAATAATGATAAAATATGTGATAAGAGTGGAAAGAATAGATGAGGATGTCATAGCTCAGACGGTGGTCAGTAGATCAAATCAGGGGGAAGGGAAAGTGTCAGTTATTGAGAGTAGTCCAGTTCTGATAAAAAGTTATATATATAAAAATTACAAAAAAATTTAATTATAAAACTTGGTCATGATGGATTTAATTTGTTAATCGAATGGTTCACTCAGTAAATATGGGATATTAGCAAGTTCAGCGGATTCAGAGAAAAAGAGTTGGCTGATCAATAATTGATAAATAAATTTACAAATAGGTTTCAACAAGAAAATTAACCAAAAGATGAATAGTTAACAAAAATAATGCTTTTTGGTATGTCTTATTATTGCAATTCTTGTGATTATGGTTGTTTGGAATTCCATGTGGGCCCCACCTATTGGACCCGGGAGAGGGGTGCCTAACCCCTTCCTTCTCCCTTCGGAGTCTTACCTGGACTGGTGTAGTCAGTGCCTTGGGTCTTAGAGTCACTATCGAACCAAAATATTTTTTATGCCATTCTTGGAGGTCTCATCACCTTCATTTCCATAGCTGATGGGTGGCGACTTCATTTCTGCTCAAGTGTGCCGTTTTCCTGATGCTCACACATATGCAAAACAAAATGATGGGAATCGGTAATTATTGAGGATATATTAAGGGAGGGAAATTTTTCATTTACAACTTGAAGTGTTAGGTACTTCAGTTTTAACCCCCTCTTGAACCATAAAACTTGTTTTGAGAAGCTGATCAAGAAACTAAACTTATCACAATCAGATGAAGAAGAAAATATATAAAAGAAGTTAGTGCACAAGCACTCTTCATATACGGTGGTATAGTTCCTCCGTACACCACTGTACTCCATGAAGAATGAGATTTTTTGGGAAGGAGGCTCATGTAACACTTAAAGCATCTATTTTGTGACGCTTTCATGCCCTTTGGTTGATTCTAGGGCCGCAACATGTGGAATGGGAAGGAGGCTAATGTAACACTTAAAGGATCTATTTTGTAATGCTTTCATGCCCTTGGGATTATTCTAGTGCCCCCAGCCTGTGGAATGGAGAAGTACGAAGGTTTAGTCCCTCTGTACACCATCGTACTCCATGAAGAATGAGATTTTAGGGAAGTAGGCTCATGTAACACTTAAAGGACCTATTTCGTGACTCTTCTATGGCCTTTGGCTTATTCTAGTGCCCCCAACCTGTGGAATGGAGAAGTATGGAGGTTTAGTTCTTCCATACACCACCGTACTCCAATGCTCTTGTTCTGGGTAAGATTGGTATCTACTTACAACACTAACAGCCTAATCAATGTTTGGCCAAGTATACAACATAGCATACATGATGCTCCCTACGACTGAGGCATATGGAGCCTTTCTCATGTCCTCAATCTTCTCAGGGGTCTTAGGTGAGATTCCTTTCGAGAGAGTGGCTCCTTCCATAATGTGACAATCCTTCTCGAGGCTCCCCAAGAAGGGGCTGAGGTCCACTTTACTCCTCTTGATCTCCACACACTCCTCACCCATCTTCTGTCCAACTCCAACAACTTTGTTTCTTGTAACATAACAATGTTAGGCCTTTCCTTTCTAAGTAAATCCTTTATCATCATCCTTTTCCTTGCACTCCCTAATCTCCTAACATTCCAACTAACTATTCTCATAGTCACAAATCATGCAAACACCCTCAGTCATAAACCACCACTCCTTACTTCTTACCCTTTCTCCTATCACCTCTACCACTAAACTCTATATTCCCTTCGATGTCACCAATTAATCTTTCCACTTCAGAACCTTTCTTCTTTTCCTTATTCCTTTTTGACTCACTCTTTTTATTATAAGTTTTCACCTGCCATTTGCTTTCAGCCCTCTTTTCGGCTTGACCTCCCTCACCAATAGCTTGCAAAACTGAAGTCTGAAGTCCTCCTTTATCATAATCAACCCCTTCCTTTCCCCTATCCATCACCATTTCACTAAACCCGTCCACATATCCTTCCTTTTGTTTGAGATCTCAAACTCTGTACAAATCAGTCCCCAAAATTTATCTACCTCCCCACTCTTCCCTTCAAGGCACCCTTCCCCAACTCTTCCACCTCCAATCGTACCCTTGTTATACCTTCTAGGTGGGATGTTGCTACCTCTGTTTTAGGCATACTACATTGGTTAGTAACCAAAAACAAGTTGACATCCATACTTGGTTGGAAAGGGATAGCACAAGGAA